TTCATTTCTCTAACTGCTTTCTCTACTTCCTCCATCGTCACCTTCTCTATAGGTCCGTGTGTGACCGCGGATTCCACATCTCCATCCCACTCATTCTCTTCATTCATCAACCTTTCCATATGAGCTTTCCACACCTGAGCTTTTTCCTCCTCATCTATGCACAACTTGCCAGATCCATCCCAAACACATCCATTCCCTATAACATCTTTCCTATCCCTCATTGACTGCTTTGCTACTTTGAACATTTTCCTCGAATTCACATCAAATTCCATTTCCTTCATTAACCTATCTGATGCTTTCGTCATTGCAGTTGCCACTGCCTGTTTTGCAACCTTCATAGCCTTCCTATACTCAGACTCCGCTTCCTCCGTCATGTCCCTTCTCCATACCCTAAACCTCTCCTTCTTGACTTCCAAAACCCTTCTTATATCTTCATCCCACCACCACGTCTCACCATGCCTACACTTTCCTTTCGTCCATCCACATACTTTATCTGCCGTAGCCAACACACAGTCCCTGTATCTCTCCCAAACATCTCCATCCTTACCACTCTCCCAATTTTCAGCCACCTTCACTTCAAATGCCTTCTTCACCTCTGCATCCTGCAACTTCCATGTCTTTCTCTTTGCCACAAACTTATCCTTCTTCCTCCTCCCCATTTCTTTTGATGTCACATCCATCACAACCATACTATGCTGCAAAATACCAGGTAACGCCTTCACATTCTTCACATACTTCCTATGTTTGGCCCTTACCAATATATAGTCTATCATCGATCTATGTTCCCCTGACCTATAAGTAATCAATCGCGCTGGTTCCCTTGTGAACCAAGTATTCCCCACCACCATGCTATGTGCATCCGCCAACTCCAACACTCTACGCCCTTCCTCATTCCGTATACCATATCCCCATCCCCCATGTACACCTTCATATCCGTCTGCATCCGCCCCCACATGACCATTCAAATCACCCAACAACACCACAAACTCATTCAACCCCGCTTGCCCAATCTCGTCAGAAACATCATCATAAAACCTATCCTTCTCCTCTTCCTTCCTACTTTGTTGCGGAGCATATCCTGATATCACCCTCACTATTACTTTTCCAAACACCATCACCACCACAATTACAAAATTGCTTCTCCGCCTCACTTCCAACACCTTCTCCACCAACTCTTCTCTTACCATCACACCAACTCCTCCCATACCATCATCCCCCTTCCACCACAACTTATATCTTCCACCTTTAGCCCCCACAAACCTTGTACCCTCACCCTTCCATCTGATCTCCTGTAATGCAGCCACGTCAACCATTCTCCTCTGCAGCTCCTCCACCACTTCCAAACTTCTTCCTGTCAACGTGTCTACATTCCAGGTACCAAACCTCCAACCCCTTGGTCTACAAGTAGTCCTTCCATCTATAGTGCCTTGCACCGCCACACTATAGAGTGGGGTGCCAGTAGCCAGACCATCCACAGGGCCTTGCACCACAACCCCATGGACTGGGTCTTCGGAGATTCTTCGCACCCTCTTCTGCCGGATACTGAGGGCCATTGTTATTTCCGTCATCATAAGTATTATTTTTTGGCTTCTTTTTGAAAGAGCATGAATATTTTATTTTCCTATATGCATTTACATGTTTTCCAACATGAGATTTTATTTGTATGAACTGACTCCTTTTAACTCTGTGAATTATTTGATGACACTTCTCCCAATTTTTTAAGCAGATTTGATTTGTCTGGCATACCACCTTTTTATATGTTAGAATTGGTTATATTAAATCAGAATGAAGGTCTTTTAATATTATTGATTTGAAATTTATTTTATTGCTTTTCTTCAATATATTCTTCATTGGTTGATAAATTGATGGATGGTTTGAAAATATTTTATTGATTGTATGTCAGAACACAATTTAATGAATAATTGATTGAATAAATGAATGAATGCTTAATGATTGAAAGATGAATTGATAGATTAGTGAATGAATAAATGGATGCTTGATGAAAAATATTCATTAAAGTTTACGAATACGTTCATTGTGCGTGTGAGGTGAGTGGGAAGAACACAGTTGATCATCTGACATTTGGTGAATTCGCTTTCTTCGTCAATGAGCTTCAGCAACAATATTCCACAGAGTAAGTTTAATTCTTGAGGAATTTTAAATACTAGATGATTTTTATTCTGTTAGCATGGCATTTTGACTAACTTGTTTAGTTTCCGTTTTGATCATTATCTTTTGGCTTTAATATTTTAATATTTGAGCCATGCTATTTGCCATTTTAATTAAATTTTGTTATACCAAATTCATGTCGTGTGAAAACTGATCTTATACAAATATAAGCAACTTTTATTCTGTCGGTCAAAAGTGGCAATGGCTTTAAAGAATGTTTTATGAAAGGTTCAGTATTTTTTAAAACATAAATTTTTATTATAAAAAACAATTACATTGAGTGAGTTTTTTTAAGCATTTTTTATTTAACATTGATAATAAGGTAAAATTATGATGCAAAAGTTGAACATTTTTTCTGGGAATAGGAATCGGGCGGAAATCGAAGTTGGTGTCGGAAAATTTTACTCGGAGTCTAAATTTTTTGAGCGGTCGGAGTCTGATAGTTTCATCCGATTTTGATACCCTGATATTTAGATATATTTAGTGATAATAGGCTAAGATTATTTTTCTAAATGTTCATTATGATAAATAGTTATAGTTAACAGTCAATATCATGTAATAACTCTAGAACGAGTTTATCTTTCTTTTATAATTGTTCAATTATTTCATGAGTTAATGTAATTATCTGATATGATGAACAAGATGATTGTGTAATTGCAAGGCGAGAAAACATTATCACCAAATGCTTATTACAGTTACCCATTTATATTTTTCATTCAGTAACACACAAACGTTACCTCGTTCTCATTTAAAAGAAAAGGCTGTTGAAGCACTGAACCACAGGCGACTGCAAAGAAGATTTAGTGGTATTTGTTTTTCTTATTTTCATTTTTTTCTTTTTCCATTATTATTTATTTTCATTCTTGGATAACATTCAAGGAGACACGTTTAACTTTGTTTGTGAAAAAAATATCAGTCAATACATCGTCAAATGTTGTTGTGAGTGGCCTGAGATTTGTTCTGCAATTTAAAATTACCTTCTCTCACTAATATTTAAGAACGCGAGAAGATTGTAAAGAACAAAATTATGAAAAAGTGACTGAGTTGGTTTGCTAAGATGTGAACGTGCTGGAGATAATTGGATATCTGTGGGCATGAGAAGAGACGTCAGAGGGAAGTTGAATGTTGAACGTTTTTCTAATTTAAGAAGATGCGAAATAAGAATTGAATTAGCTTTCATTAAAACAATGGTACACAGATCCAGAGTCCTAATTATGATTTCTGTTTCACATTTTATAATAATTATGTGATTGTATGGTTGTATTATGTGAACGTTTTTGTGGGGTTGTTGCATGGTGCGGCAAAACTAACACCTCCACATTAAATCTCTCAAATTGGAGTTTTTCTGGGCTAGAGCTATTTGAGGATTTTTAGCTGTAAAGTTTATTGTTTTCAACTCGGACAAAAATCCCATAAAAAAAAATTATCAAACATTCTCCAATGAACTTCAAGGCCAAAAAAATATAAGTATCAGTTTAGGTTTTTGTCCGGGTTATCTAGCTTTGATGTATTTTGTCTGCAGTGTTTTGTTTAGGGGTTTTGGTCCAGGGTTTTTTGCTTGGAGATTTTTTGGCTCAGAGGTTTTTTCTGATGTTTATTTGTTTAAGGGAGTTTTGCTAGCAAGTTTTTATTCTTTGGTTAATGTGGTTGTTGTATGGTTATATTCTATTGAGATTTATGTTGTTTTATCACCTAGGTTATATATTATTTTGGTCATTATGGTTATGTTACTTAATTGTAGCGTGGTTGTATTGTGTTGTTTGTTTTATGGTTATATTACGTGATTGTTGTTGTATGGTTATATTACGTGATTGTAGTTGTTGTATGGTTATATTACGTGGTTGTTGTTGTATGGTTATATTACGTGGTTGTTGTTGTATGGTTATATTACGTGGTTGTTGTTGTTGTATGGTTATATTACCGGGTTGTTGTTTTATTGCAGGTCATGCAGCCGGATTTCAAGGTTATTGAAAGTTCACCTCCCTATCATTCTTTCTGCTTCATTGCGTGAATGTGAATTTTTATTCAGGTGCTAACACTTTATTTAAATAACCCCTTCCTTAATGTTTGGCTTTTGACTATGCATTCCATCGTTAATTAATTATTTAACATTTTTTTTATTGCATCCACTTCAAACTTCCAAATAACTTTCTTAACATGTTTATTTTTCAAATGTATTCAAGTTAGCATGTTTGCATATTGTGCTGGAATACGACTTACCTAATGTATAATACAATTGAATGTTGAGTTTTATACGAAACCAATGAAACAGCTGTTGATGTGTATGTACATTCATGTGAACATGTGCGAAATGCTTTTAGATAGATACGATAAGGTTATTTTTTATTTATTTGTAATCAATTTTATACTATTTTCCATTTTCCATAAATTTCCATACATGCCCTTGTTCTTCATTATTTGGCTTGATGTTCTCGCTTCTGCAGTTCTTGGATTTTTCATTTTTATACTTCATTAAATCTGTAATATATATTTATTGTTTCAAACGGGCCAACATTTTTTGCATAGTAAATTTAATTTAAAATTGGAAGATTTTAAAATCACTAAAATTGTTTATTCTTCAAATGCATTAACTCACAATAAATAGAAATAATTTGTTATTGCGTCATCGTCAGAGTTTCACTAATTTGCGCATCCGTTTGTTGTTGATCTTAAGAATTACATTAAAAAATTTATTTTAACGATTGTAAAGTCCAGAAATATCTGAAATTAACTCAGATTTATTTATACATTCATGTGATTTTTAGAATATAGTTATGCTCAAGTGTAATTGCGTACTAATCGTTTGTAAAAGATTTTCGCAAATTAATTTTTTAATGCTAATGAATGATTTTTAATGTTTACATCCTGCAACAGTTTTTCTTGGAGGTTCCTGCAACCCAACCACGTGGCGAACCGACATTGCAATTCCTTTCCTCAAGAAACATGGCATCACTTATTATAATCCAGTTCGTATGTTGTTAACCATAAATTTCATCGATCTGCTTTTATCTCAATTTTTAATTCTCCATGAGAAGCATCAACAACAATCACGATTTCGCGTGTATGCGGTGGGTGGAGCGTCGGTTGATGGTTTTGGCGGTCTGCCTCGGTGCTACCAATTCTTGTCTTCTTTTGACTCCGTCTGCTTTTATAATATCGGTTTTTAAATATTACAAATTGCTATTGAATTGCTCTCTTAAGTTATAATTTGGTCCAGCGGTGTGCTTCGAGGTGGCTTGCTTGGAGCATCTCTTTCTGTGGCCATGGTTTTGGGATATGTAAGTCAAAACATATAAACGGAATTTCAGTAATCAGCAAGTGAAACATTAAATTTTGATAGAAAAATGTTTACGAAAGAATTTAAACAAATTGAATACTGTAAGATCAGTGATATAACATATCAAAATGTGAAACTAAATTTTTGGAGCCGTAGCTATGATGCTTGTATTAAGAATTTTCAGTTTTACAAAAGGTCTAACATAGGGGATGTCTACGTGTCCAGTTTTTAAAAACAACAGTAGTTTTGTAAATCGTATTTGAGTTAATCAATTTTATTTAAGTGGACAATGGAACGTTTTTCCTAAATGACATTACGATTACAGTACGTGCGTGCTGCAGTTTTAATAAAATGTTTTTATTGAATAGACTTCTTAATTTGTAATGACGCCAACAAGGCGAGATATTTTATGATCAACTAAATCAATGTTGTCCGCCCAGAATAAATTTTCAGATAGAATTAATCCTAGAAACTGAATACTACGGGCTAATACCATATATACGTTAATACTATATATCATCATCATCATGCACGTTTATAGACACTCAACCCTGGAAAGCAGAACTGCCCGGTGTTCTTTGCAGGGTTTGTTGGCGAAAGCCCGGATTGGCTTTGTCGCGTGATCGAGCACAATTAAATGTTTTTTCTATTTTTCTCTATTCTGGACCGGTTTTGGTTTCAAGCGCATTGACAACACTTCTTCTCAGGTGAACCTGGCTCTGAAACTTTTCCTTAAACCGCCAGTTATAATAGTTTTACATTTCTTTACCCAGTCCTCGTTTGCTTTTCTCTCCAGAGAGAGAGAGAGAGAGAGAGAGAGAGAGAGAGAGAGAGAGAAAGAGAGGAGATAGAGAGGGAAAAAGAATGAGTGGATATAATTTTTTATATTTTGGTAAAATTTTCACTCCAGAAATTTATCAATAAACAAAACAAAATTTTGTGATGTTGATGTTGGGGAATGAAGGCTGCCAAAACATGTTGCCTAATATCATATTAACATTTAGAATATTATATCAGCCACGCAAATTGATTTCTTCGCTGTCAAGCAACAACACCGAAGGCTATTCAAAAACGTCAAAGTTATACCTGGCGAATCATGTGTCGCCCAACATAGACTCCTTGTGGCAGACCTGGTTGTCGAACTATCAAAACATAAGTCTAAACAAATGCCTCGGAGAATCGAAACGTGGAAGCTGAAAAGCAATATTTATCGAGAAAAATTTCAACAGATTGTCGCCACACAGTTAGACTACCAATCGCAAGCCAGTACAGATTGGAGTACATACAAAACCGTTTTGATAAACGCTGCAACTACAGTTTGTGGGAAAACTGGTACAAGAGATAGTCAGCATGAACGAGACACTTGGCGGTGGAATGACAGTGTACAAAATGCAATAGCTGAAAAGAAAGTTGCATACAAGCAATGGCAAAAATCAAAGTCTGTTGATGACCATAAAATTTTCGTGAGAAGAACAACTATGCAAGACGTCAAGTTGCACTGGCTCGGACAGATCAGTGCAGAGAGTGGCTCACTAAAAGCAAAGGTGAACAAATGAAATTTCTGTATCGTATAGCAAAACAAGCAAAGCGTACGAAAAAAGACATAGTTGGTGCCTCATGTATTAAAAATGACAAAAACAAGATGAGATCAAGCTACAGTGGAGAGAATACTTAAACCATCTGTTAAACGAAACAAATCCCATCAATGTTAACTTTGACGCTCTACCCATCGAAGGTCCGATTCCAGGCATCACTGTAGAGGAACTTACAGAAGCTCTGATAGCTATGAAGGATGGAAAGGCAGCAGGGCCTTCTGGACTCACAAATGACATTATCAAAGCATCTGGTACTGAAGGTATCCAAACGTTACTACAACTTTGCCGTGAAATCTGGAGAAATTGCTTAATGCCGACTGAATGGAACTATAGCATGACAGTCCCGCTATACAAAGGAAAAGGTGATCCATTAAACTGTTCATCATATCGGTGTATACGTCTGTTAGAACACTCCCTGAAAATTGTCGAGAAAATCATTGAAAGAAGATTAACGTCGTGCATCACAATCGGAAATTATCAATTTGGTTTCCTAGCAACTGCAAGAGAAGTACCTCGCAAAGCATCAACAACTATCACACATTTTTGTAGACCTTGAAAAAGCATTTGATCGAGTTCCCCGAGAAGCAATCAAGTGGAGTCTATGTCGACAACTCATTCCAGAATATCTTGTTCGACTTGTTATGAAAATGTATACGAATACTAAGACTCTTGTCAGCACAGCGGTTGGAAACACAGATGCATTTGACATCGGCGTTGGAGTTCACCAAGGCTTGATTCTCAGTCCACTGTTATTTCAACTGTGATGGAAGAAATCACAAAGCTGATACGCACTGATGACATTTGGAATCTAAAATATGCTGATGATATCGTTTTAACAGCCACGTCTGAGCAGAATGTAGCACAGATGTTTGAAGATTGGAACACCAGACTCTCCGATTATGGATTCAAAGTCAACATCAGCAAAACCAAAGTAATGAACACTGGTGAACCCATCCAATCCACAGCTGGACGATAGCTCTGTTCAGTTTGTAAAGCTGGTGTAGGTAACAATTCAATCAAGTGTCAGCAGTGTAACCAGTGGTGTCACAAACGTTGTTCAAAAATATTTGGTACTTTATTTAAAGTGTCAAATTTTGTTTGTCCTACTTGCATCAATCCACAACAACAAATTCGAAATAGCAATGTTTTTGAAGCCATTAAGGTAGAGAAAGTCACATCGTTTCAATATCTAGGGGATGTTTTGGATTGTACTGGAACAGCTGAAGCTGCCGTTCGAGCACGCATACGTGCAGCCTGTAATAAATGGCATCTCCTTACCTCTATGTTGATGCGGCGTGACCTCCCACTACCACTACGATCAATACTTTATAAATCTGTGATACGTCCGGTGTTGTTATATGGTGCAGAAACATGGCCAATGACAACCAAACTGGAACAACAATTTCAACGAAACGACATGAAAATGCTTCGATGGATGCAACGAATTAGTCTAAAGGACCGCATCAAATCCACCGAAATCCTGCGTCGTGTTGGTTTAGATGATATAAATAAAGGACGAATGCCGGCAACACCGTCTGCGGTGGTTTGGTCATGTCAAACGAAGTAGAAACAGTGCCATAACTTCTCTTGCAGATGTTGAAGTACCTGGCACAAGTCCCAAAGGCCGTCCAAAGAAGTCCTGGTCGCAAACAATCGAACAAGAAATGAAAGCTCTAAATTTAAATGAAATGGATACAACTGATCGTCTAATTTGGCGCAAAAAGTTGATGGCAAAGAAAACAACATCCTACCTTGGGGACTATGGACGCAAAACGAAGATTGATTGATTTAGCATATTATATATTGATATCATATTAGCGTTTTAATGTATCATGCTGATATATAACTAACTATGTTGAACGAATTAAATATTTTAGCAAGTTTGCAACTGGAAACCAAATCTTATGGAGTTAGAAGACCAAGCTAAACAAGTTAGTATATTGAAATAATTAATAAATACAATAATTTCCCTTATGTTTCTTTCTTAAAACTACTGTTTTTATTGGAATGTTTCTGGGGGTAACAATTAATATGATATTTGATTTGATTGATAAGATATTGCGAAAATCTGGTATTGGATTAGTGGGTTGATTTTTATGATGGAATGATCCTATAGTTTTAGTAATAGTTGATATATATTTCAAGACAATTAAGCATTTTTTTCATCTTGGGAGAAAAAATATGAAACAAAATAATTTGTTGGCTTTATTAGCTCATAAATATGCTTGATGGGAGAATGTTTGGGATTGGATCTTTGCCAACGTTGGTATGCTTAAAGTTAAAACCCGTGCCTTCCTTCTTTCTAGATGAGTATTGTTAATAGTGTTGTGTAGTTCATGAATGTAATAAATTCTATTTGAAATGATTCTTTGCGTGAACAACAGTAAATCTAATGAATTTAATTGTGGAAGAAATATCAAGTAAACAAAATCAGCTCATAAAACATGTCGATTTGTTGGATCATTGGAAATGAAGCAGGACAGATGCTGTTTCAATAATATTATGACATAACATGCCACTTGGCTGTAACTGAATTTTATCTGTGAAACATATGTGATGTGATGATGTTAATAAATTGAAATGTGAGGAAATGATAGTATTCATGTCTCCCAGACAGCTCAGTTACTATTTTTTGTGATTGACAACAAGACACGATCATCTGCCTCCATGGTCGAAGTTGCCTATATTGCAGGTTCACTTTTGAATGTCAGCGTAAAAATTTCGTTTATGTATTTTTACTCATTTATTTTTGCATGTTTATTGTATAAGTTAATTTGTTAGGAATTTTTTTTGTTTATTTTGATGAATCGTAAACTTTTAATGTAAGGTTGTGACAGACAGTTGATTCTTGTAGTGAAAAAATTTCAACCACCTGTTTATATATATGGCGAGTTGCTAAGGCAGAGGTTGGTTATCATTATGTTTCATCCTGTTTCATTGCATATTGATAATCTTTTGTTCTGTTTTTATAAACATTTTAGAAAAATTTATTAGAATTTTTTTAGTATGGCTAGTTAGGTGAACAATGAACGAACGAACAACAGAATTAATAATTGATTGATTGATCGATTGAATGAATGATTGATTGAATGAATGAATATTTGATTGAATGATTGATTGAATGAATGACTTTAGTGAGTTGGATGACCTGGAAAGAAGCCATGCCTATTTAATAGACCTGTCAGAGAGGATGGGTATTCCCGTCTTCAACGACATCTGCACCGCACTCAACTGCACCAAAAAAGTTATCACACAGGTTTTCCAATCTTCCATAATTTAGTCATTAGTAAAAGATGATTAATTTTATTGATTGCAATGTAGAATAGTGAGTTGTTAATCAAGATTTAAATTAAATTTAAAGTCCAGTTTAAAATTTCAAACTTGCTAACATTATAATTTACGAATAGTTGAATAATTTTGTTTCAGTATAACACATTTATTTCTAAATGTTTAACAAAGTGTATAAAGATGATGGCATTTTTTTTAAACACTTTTGTTCGAGGATGTTTTCCAAGTCTAATTTGATAAATTACATTTTCTGTCTATTCTAAAATTTGCATTTGTTAATATTGAAAATATAAATTGCAAAGATAAGTTTTTAATAATAATTAATAACCAACTCTTCAGGGATAATGCATATTATCTAATTGATTTCTTGTAAATTTTGTTCTTTTTAAATTCTTCCGTTGAATCGTTATAATTCCCGTTAATTTTAACCACCAACCACATAACGTCAGCAAATAAAAGTTAGTGATCTAACAGTGGCAGATGGTGCCCAGCCCGTCAAACATCCACATCTGAGAATTGCCAACGAACTTCTGTAAGCGAACCATTTATAAATCATCGTCACCATCACGTGTATCTTCCTTTGCTGCTTTGTTCCCATTTATTATTAAATTTGGTTCAACTTCAACATTCTTCTCCCTTCTTTCAAATTGTCTTCCAAGTTCAGATGTTTACGCTTTGTGACATCAACAAATTGTTTGTACTATTTATATTAATAAATTCTATGTACATTAAATTGCATTTAAACATACTGTGTTTACAATCTCTATTTTATTGTTAATTTACTTAGTCTGAGCAGTATTTTTTGCAACTGTTGCTAAATAAACAATTTTTTATAAACTAACCAGTTGCAGTACAAATCTGTAAATGCTTTTACAAGCCTAAGAGTTTGAATTTTTTTTACTTGTGAAGCATTTATTTCGTAGTTTTCTTCCATTCAACATAACATTGTATTGATTTGTCTAATGCAAACGATATTTCAGACATTTAATTTATGAAGAATACCTAATAGTTGAAATCTGTACCACTGAGAAAGAAACAATTTATTTGATTGAATATAATTATATTTTAGGTAGTTATAAATTGATTTGATGAACAAAAACGCAGGAGTATAAAGGAAGTGTTCAACACGGTAGATTCTTGCAATGCTGGGAGGTTGTCTTTTGATGATGTAAGTCTTGTTTGGTTTGTAGTGCTGCTAACAATTTTCGTGCAGCCTACACTTATGAACATATCACATTCTGACATTCCACCATAAATTCATTATTTCCAACACCAATCCAACATTCCATCACATTCTTACCTTGCACGGGCATGCATCATGATGTTTGCAGACGAACCTGGCTTTCCGAACTGTCACAAGCGACAACCTACCTTCCAATCTCTACTATTTGGGTTCGTTTACGTTCGAACAGTTTTGCTGCCTGCTCACTGAATACAGGTATAAGGTACGTGCAGTTCATTTTTTAGTATTTTGTTCTTTTCAAGCCATGCCTGGCATGTTGCGACAAATCTCCTCCTAAGTAAAATTTTAATGATGGTAATTTATTTATGACTTCCAAATGTCAGTCAGCTCAATGCATTCTAACTGGCAACAAATGTTGCCAAATTATTACTTTCCAAACGGTAAATAGAGAGTTATTCTGCAGTTGTGTTCATATTTAATTAAGTTGAAAAACTAACTTTTTGTTCACATAGAAAAAGAACATTTTTCAAATTTTGTGGAGCTTCCTGTGGAACTTTCCGAGCATCTTGCTACGTAAGTCATGTTGGTACCTGCTTGTTGTTAGAATGTCTCTTGAATATCTTTTGAATATTATGTTGAAAGAGAACATCTCTCATTGCTTCAACAATTATCCCATATTGAAATCAATCAGTCCTATCTTAACTAAAGGTTTTTGCAGCCATCTAACTAATACCACGAACTCAAACTTATGTTGAATGAATTAATATGAATATTGATGTATAAATTTAATGATATATTTGGTTATTACGGAACAACATGTCATGATCTTATAGTTATTTTTCAATGAAAATGGTTGCATGTAGAATTAGATATGTTGAATTAAATTTTTTTCATAGATTGGTTAGGGTGGACATCAATAAAGTTTCGAGCAGATGGCACTGAGCCACGTAGGAGGGACATATTTCTTGGTGGAAGTTGTGGGGCTTCTGCTTGGCGGGAATCCATCGCCATCCCCATTCTGCGGTTCCTATGCATTCAGTCATTTCGTTATATTTTTTAAATAAATATATCTAACGGTTTGTGAACATTTAGCGAACATTTTGTTGTTTTCAGTTGCTTGCTACTTCATTATTTTGCTTTGTATCGAAATGTACAAATATTTTGGGTTAAAAATTATTAACTGTGATTGTCGTCGTTTTCGTAGTTAATAATTGAATTGCAACCGAAACAGGAAAAATGGAATATCATATTTCAACCCTCAAGTACACTGCTGGAATGCACACTGCATACCTCGGGAGGCCTCTATCAAGGACAGCTGCCTGGTCCTTCTCTACGTCATCACACAAGACACGAGGGCCATGACCAGCATGCTTGAGGTATCTTGTCCATTCAACTTCATCATTAATTGTGTCATGAGGGTCATGAGGGTATTGATACATTTAAAATTCATTTGTAATTATTCAGGCTGGCTATTTTATTGGGAAGAAATGTAATGTTATCTTATGCATTGAATTCATTAAAACTGGTGCTGTCATTGATGGAGAGAAGGTCGGTTGAACATGTTTTAATTTTATCACTTACTTTTCATCAGTTTTGACTAATCACTTATATCCCGCTTGACCATCTAAAAGTTTTATGCTCGTCAGTTTAAAGTATCTCTCAGGACGACTTTGTCATCCGACATTCTATTTTATTTCTTTTCAATGATGTTGTTGGATCACTGACTGGCCGTTGCATGGAAATCGCAGAAATGCTCGAGCGTAGAAGGATTGCATCTGCTGCTTTCAGGAAACCCTATGGAAATCGAATGGTGTCTGTCATGTCAACTCAGACAAAGAAAAATATAAACTATTCTGGAATGGTCAAAAGACGGCCAAAAATGGTGTTGGAATTTTTGTCAGAGAACATCTAGCCCAAGAAATACTGGATATTAAAAGGATTAGTTCACGTCTCATGTGGATAAAGCTTCGCATAGAAAAGCAAACAATGATTATTTTTTCTGCATACGCACCACAGACAGGCGAATCAGAAGAGATGAAAAATGACTTCTGGGTTGCATTCTCTGACACCATCTCAACAATACCAAAATCTGAAACAATCCTGATGGGAGGTGATCTCAATGGCCACGTTGGAGAGAAAACAGATGGTTTTGACAACGTGCATGGCGGTTCTGGCTATGGAAAACGGAATGAAGATGGCAACCGCATCCTTGAGTCTGCTGAAAGTCACGGGTTTTGTTTACTAAACACATATTTTAGAAAGAGGTTGGAACATCTCACAACATACAAAAGTGCACCATCTGATAAGCAAATTGATTTCTTCGCTGTCAAGCAACAACACCGAAGGCTATTCAAAAACGTCAAAGTTATACCTGGCGAAGCATGTGTCGCCCAAAATAAACTTCTTGTGGCAGACCTTGTTGTCGAACTGTCAAAACATAAGTCTAAACAAATGCCTTGGAGAATCAAAACGTGGAAGCTGAAAAGCAATATTCATCGAGAAAAATTTCAACAGATTTTCGCCACACAGTTAGACCACCAATCGCAAGCCAGTACAGATTGGAGTACATACAAAACCGTTAGAATAAACGCTGCAGCTACAGTTTGTGGGAAAACTGGTACAAAACGTCAGCATGAACGTGATATTTGGTGGTGGAATGACAGTGTACAAAATGCAATAGCTGAAAAGAAAATTGTATACAAGCAATGGCAAAAATCAAAGTCTGTTGATGACCATAAAATTTTCCGTGAAAAGAACAATTATGCTAAACGTCAAGTCGCACTGGCTCGGACAGATCAGTGCAGAGAGTGGCTCACTAAAAGCAAAGGTGAACAAATGAAATCTCTGTATCGTATAGCAAAACAAGCAAAGCGTACGAAAAAAGACATAGTTGGTACCTCATGTTTCAAAAATAACAAAAATGAGATGGTTCTTGAACAAGATGAGATCAAGCTACAGCGGAGAGAATACTTCAACCGTCTGTTAAACGAAACAAATCCCATCAATGTTAACTTTGACGCTTCACCCATTGAAGGTCCGATTCCAAACATCACTGTAGAGGAGCTTACAGAAGCTCTGAAAGCTATGAAGGATGGAAAGGCAGCAGGGCCTTCTGGACTCACAAATGACATTATCAAAGCATCTGGTACTGCAGGTATCCAAACGTTACTACAACATTGCCGTGAAATCTGGAGAAATTGCTCAATGCCGACTGAATGAAACTACAGCATGACAGTCCCGCTATACAAAGGAAAAGTTGATCCATTAAACTGTTCATCATATCGGTGTATACGTCTGTTAAAACACTCCCTGAAAATTGTCGAGAAAATCATTGAGAGAAGATTAACGTCGTGCATCACAATCGGAAAATATCAATTTGGTTTCCTAGCGGGGAAATCAACAATTGGTGCAATTCACATCCTTCGGCAACTGCAAGAGAAGTACCTCGCAAAGCATCAACAACTATCACACATTTTTGTAGACCTTGAAAAAGCATTTGATCGAGTTCCCCGAGAAGCAATCAAGTGGAGTCTATGTCGACAACTCATTCCAGAATATCTTGTTCGACTTGTTATGAAAATGTATACGAATACTAAGACTCTTGTCAGCACAGCGGTTGGAAACACAGATGCATTTGACATCGGCGTTGGAGTTCACCAAGGCTTGATTCTCTGTCCACTGTTATTTCAACTGTGATGGAAGAAATCACAAAGCTGATACGCACTGATGACATTTGGAATATAATATATGCTGATGATATCGTTTTAACAGCCACGTCTGAGCGGAATGCAGCACAGATGTTTGAAGATTGGAACACCAGACTCGCCAATCATGGATTCAAAGTCAACATCGGCAAAACCCAAGCAATGAACACTGGTGAACCCATCCAATTCACAGCTATTGGACGATGGCCCTGTTCTGTTTGTAAAACACTTCAATCGAGTGTCAGCAGTTTAACCAGTGGTGTCACAAACGTTATTCAAAAATAATTGGTACTTTATCTAAAGTGTCCAATTTTATTTGCCCTGCTTGCATCAATCCACAACAACAAATTCGAAATAGCACTGTTTTTGAAGCCATTAAGGTAGAAAAAGTCAATATCTAGGGGATGTTCTGGATTGTACTGGAACTGAAGCTGCCGTTCGAGCACGCATACATGCAGTCTGGAATAAATGGCATCTCCTTGCCTCTATATTTATGCGGCGTGACATCCCACTACCACTACGATCAATACTTTATAAATCTGTGATACGTCCGGTGTTGTTATATGGTGCAGAAACATGGCCAATGATAACCAAACTGGAACAACAACTTCAACGAACCGACATGAAAATGCTCCGATGGATGCAACGAATTAGTCTGAAGTACCACATCAAATCTACCGAAATCCTGCGTCGTGCTGGTTTAGAGGATGTAAAGGACGAATGCCGGCAACACCGTCTGAGGTGGTTTGGTCATGTCAAACGAAGTAGAAACAGTGCCATAACTTCTCTTGCAGATGTTGAAATACCTGGCACACGTCCCAAAGGCCGTCCAAAGAAGTCCTGGTCTTAAACAATCGAGCAAGACATGAAAGCTCTAAATTTAAATAAAATGGATACAACTGATCGTCTAATTTGGCGCAAAAAGTTGATGGCAAAGAAAACAACGTCCATCCTCGGGGAACCGGGTCTCTGGACGCAAAACGATGATTGATTGATTGTTCATTGTTCTCCATTTTTTAACCTGATTCATTAGACTGATTGGAGGTGTTTTATTAGGCATTTTCTCATCATTTCATCATTTTCCCGTCAAACGAATAATTTTTGGTGCCAGGAATGTACTCAGGTCGTATAATGAGCCTGGAAAACTGAAGCCTCTTTTTCTTAGTCCGAACATGCCACACAGAGGCCCATGATAAATTTATGTACTTTTCCTATCTTTGGAACAACATCTTTTAAATTATATTTAATATATTGCAATGGCTAGTATTTTTTTATTCCATTTCTTTAGTTAATCTCGTTGTCATAACAGCGTGTTTTTTTGCTTCTCTTTCTAATTTACTTCTGATTTATGTCTAGATTTTCATTGTTATATATTTGTCATCAAATCGAACAACTAATTAAAATTTGTACGTCAAGTTTATTTGCGCCATTGCAATGACAGCTGGCAAGCACAGTCTTAAGTTTTTGATTATTTTCAAATGAATTTGTTTCAATGTTTGTTACGTTAGTTATCGGACAATGAGGTGCTGGATTACAATCGATCACGTGCCTACCTAGCAGACGTGGCCAACCGTGATGGGGTGCCCGTCTTTGATGACGTCGAGGAGGCCGTCCTCTGTGCTGTCAACAGGTTCAGGGAGGCTCTCTGACATTCTTCCCTATGCGGCTCACATATATATAATTCATTAAAATATGTATGTATGCGTATGTATGTGCGTGCGTGCATACTAATGATATACATACATTGCACAATGTCACGTTGTACAAATTAGTTGTTCATTTACTGTTTTGTTCATCATTCGTTGTAAAGTCATTTATCGTTGTGGCGTTGGACTATTTGATAAAAAATAATAATTTATTTTTTGTATCTTATTCACTGTACAGAATGTGATTCGTTACGTCGCAATCTGAAGAAATTGTTTATATTGCTTAATTTAATTTAAATTGAAATGTAGAACAACACTCGTACTTCGTTCCATCATGTCACGTGCCTTCAAATCATGCATCTCCGTTTTTTATTGTTAGGTTTCCTTGACAATCTGATATTTTTTTAAATGATATTTTTAATCGCTTTGAGATATTATACTTTTTAATATTTAAAATGAACTTTTTTGATACTAGGATGTGCACTGCACTTAATAATGGCATTTGTTTGTAGCAGGTTTTGTATTAGGAATGTTAACATTGTAGCAATTAATAAAACACACATGCGCACAAATGTTTTTGTATTGCATGATCATCATAGAAATAAACTTATGCACACGGATTGTATGAACGTTAATGGTATAATGGTAATGTACTCTCATAATCCACGCACAACTGTTTCTACTGCATTCAAGTTGATAAAAACCGCAGAGACTCCAGAAATTAACTTTCATTAAATTTTATTGTAAATAATTATATACTTAAAATGTCACATGTAGTTATGCGAATCGGAGAAGCGTTGTCCGAACACTGATAAGTAAAAGGCGTGCATGTCATTTATCGACATTTTCATATTGAATTCCACAATTTCTCCAAAGCAACTAAAATTTCAGATAGTCGTCCATCTACCTTGATGTGAATTCTTTTCGATTTGCAACTTTTATATTCAACTACTAATTAATATTTCCAACACGGATAAGTAATTTATTGTTACAAACGTACTAATTGATTTCATATATGTACGTACATATATGGTCCGTCCAAATTCGAGATTAAAAGTGATGTTCAAATCCACACATTCAGCATTCCATTCATAAAAAATAACTCTCATAATAAATCTGCATAGAAATTTTCAATATTTTCAGAGATCTGGCACAACGCAAAAGTTGTCACGATCAATAAAAACATACAAATATATGATGAATGGGCCTTTATGAATCAAAGTTTTAAAAATAAGACACATTACAAAATCAATAAAAGTTGATTTGAATAATAATTACACGGGTCAAAGGAACATTAAAAACGTTGGCGTGTGTTCTTATACGAGAGGGTAACTGGCCATGTTGGCAATTCCACATTGGTTCTTCTTATTTCTGCTCATGTACACATAGCCTTTGTCACCCCATGATGTAGCCCAGCTGTCGAATTTTAGTTAATTTCAGTAAGTGCCTTCAGCGCAGTAGAAACAAATGGTGTTAGGGATAATTGCAATGAAAACGGTAATCTTAACACACCAACATTCAACAACTCAAAAAAAGTATTGTGAATCAGTAGATAAATTTTATTGCAATGTCAAGCAAGTTTGTAAAATTGATGCTCATACAATTAAATAATTTGTGTAGTGCGGTCAGAAGAACAATGGTGCTGACCTGTTTTTGACAATGTAATAATCTTTCCCATTGAGACTTCCATAGCCAACAGCAAGCACACCATGGTCCAATTGTCCACCATCGCATTCTGGCTCATCATACACACCTGATTGTATTCAGGTGAAAATTTAAAACAACTCATTCAGATGTTTGACGGCATTTGATAACGTAAGAAAGAAAATATACTGAAATGACAATGATATACTAAAAAAAACATTTAACATGCAAATGATGCAACTTGACGAAACATTTTGAAATAAAATCAAAATTAATAAAAACACTTTGTACCATAGATAAATTAATTTAATTTCATCTTTTATTGAGCAAGAAATTCAAAAATTTTATCAAAAATATTTTCTGAACTTTGTCAGATGCAAAAATTGAAATTCACATTGAATTGAAATTTTGCAGATAACTTTCAAATTAAATTGTGTTTTTGATCTAAATTCTGATAGATTAAAAGGAAAATTAAGTTTTAAATTTAAGTGAACAATTAATTTAAAAAACTTTTTTTAAAACAATAGACTAAAAATATTCTCATAAAAACAGTTGAAAATCGGCTAGCTTGGCTTACCATGTCAGATAAATCAAATCATAGTAAGTTCCATCGCAGGAATAAAAAAGGTTGAAAAAGGTTTATTACACTCTTTCTAGGTTCAGAGGAAAAAGGATACAAAACAGCAGAGTAACCGAACCGACAATAAAAACCTGATTTGTATAGCATGAATGATTGGTGGTTAGCATCGATGGCAACAGACACAGGTCCAACTGTGGCCAGGGCTTCCTGCAATTTCTTCTCACTGCCTTTTGGAATGTCAACAAATCCTGTCACGGTGGCACCAATTTTGTTCTTCTTGAATCTGCATTCACCATCCTGTTTGTAAATCAGATGACATCAGATAAAAAAAAACCAATTTAATGGCTAATAGTTGACAATGAAATCAGACAAAGCAGGGTTTCACATTCAGATGAAAAATATCCAACTCCAACTCAAAAAATTCTAACTCAGACCAACTTCGACACTCTGAGGTCTATTGACAACATATACAATTGACATATACAGGTCAATTGACATTATATACATAGGGTGTTTGCAGTAATTGTTCGTTATTTCAATTAACTAAAAACTTGCAAAAATTTTTCCATGAAGGTAACTCACTTGACCCTCGTACGGGTAAGCTGTTTCAGTGTCAATGCCTTTGTTAGCTTTGATGTATTCGAAAGCATTGTCCATGAGACCACCATTGCAACCGTTGTTATCATAACTGGTAGAGCAGTCGACAAGGTTCTGCTCACTGAGTTCAACCAAATCTCCTGTCTTCCTCATGTGTTGACCTTCCAACGAACCAGTCTGTCCAATTAAGATTTTATATAAGCATTGTTTAAACAAATAACAATTATCATTGGTTTAGTCCTTAAATTCCAACTATTTGAAGAATGAGAAACCGAAATAAGTGAAAAATAAAACCTAACGGGAGAATGAATTAAAAATTTCAATAAAATGTACAATACTGACTGCACTGAAAGCCCAGCATGATCCACATTGACCCTGAAATAGTGACAAAAACGATTATGATAACAAACAATGATGATGTATCAGAGGTGATTGCATCAACAAGCAACCGTGGATTGCTTTTATTTATGCACAGAAAACAACCATCCAACAAACAATGCATTCACACAAGTTAAAACAATTTTTTTATGTTAAATAAATCAATAAATCATTCTATTACACAACAATCAATCAAACCTGATTTTTGACTTGCGTGACGAGTCCCTTCTTTCTCCAGTCGACTTCAGTGGGCAAGGTCATGTTGATGTTGGGTGACAAGTATGTTGACCCTCCAACCCTCTCAGCATTTATTTTCAGTCCGTTCATCATCTCTTTGAACTCGTGAACAGTCTGAGTTCATTTTTAAAAAAATGTTAATTTTGATTGATGGCATATTAATTCAATGTCATGATTTGATTGCTCAACGATGATTGTATAAAATATGATACTGATGATGTTATATATCATGATAAAGGAGATGACATCGTAAAGATGATATGAAACTACTTGATAGCGACGATGGTATAATAATAATAGAGATGTTACAAGACTTTCAAGCATACATTACAAACCATATCAGCAAATTGATTGATCCCAACAGTAAATGATCTTTCACCATTGTCATACAGTTGGTTGTGTTCAGAGATGAACCTGTAATTCACAGCAAAGATTCTCTTTCTCAAATTTTCTTCTTCTTCATTGGCATAAACTTTGTCTAAAGAATTAACAAATTGATTTTCAAAATTGAATAAAAATGTTCTGTAATAATTTACACAAAGGTTAAAAAAATTTCAAACAAGCAAAAGCTATTATATTTATGCTTGTTTTGTTATTTGATCAATAATGCATATTCATTTTTAGAATCAAATATTAGTACTAACTGTGGAATGATTTAAATTTGAGCCAGTCGACTTCCACATCAAGAACTTCTTGAAAGTTTGAATACAGGTTGGCGCTTTGACTCTCCCAGTGCAAATCCCTTGCTAGGGCAGTACAGAACAATGACATAAATACAATCTTAATCATCTGGAAAATATATACATATACATGTATTTAGATATTAACATAAAGAGCTTTTTGGTGAAATTTTGCATTAGCATTATTAATTTATATACTGAAGGATGTCAAAACGTTGCATCAAATATTTATTTAATTATTTCAAAAAGGCTGACTATGAAAAATTATCTCTTTAAAATTTTATGCAACCAATTTAAATGATAAGAAGTGTTAAAAAGTAGCATTTGATAAACTGTTTGAAATACTGAAGTCAGAAACTAAACTAGGAAAATCTAAATCTAAAAATAAACATTTGGCAAGAATGTCATCATATTAATTCAACGAGGTAGGACGTTGTTTTCTTTGCCATCAACTTTTTGCGCCAAATTAGACAATCAGTTGTATCCATTTCATTTAAATTTAGAGCTTTCATGTTAACTTTTATTTCAAGAATGCTCATCATACAAGAGAAACAAGCATTTGTTTGATTTTAATAAGAAAACTCAACTGTCATGTCATGTTGTTTACTAGATTTGTTTACAATAAATTTCAAGTTTTTGAGTGCGAGCAGATCTTTTTGACCCATATCTTTTTGACCCATATACAATAATATACTAAAGTATTATTCATTATGCATGTTGTAACTAATAGATTATAACTATTATAACAGATTTTGTTTCTATAAAAACCTGACTTTTTAAATACAGTTAGGTCACATTGGGTTTTTGGAGGCATCGATACGCAAACAAAAGATGCCTTTCTGGTGGAAGTAGATAGACGAGATGCTGCCACGCTGTTGCCATTAATACAGCAACATGTTCTGCCCGGTTGGTTTCATATTTTAAAATTCATTTTTGTTGGTTATGAAATATAATTCGATTTTAATAATTTTAGGTACAACAGTTTGGACGGATCAATGGGCTGCTTATAACAGTATAACACCTGTAACCGGTCTAGTCCACCAAACCATAAATCACTCCATTACATTCCGGGCCGTAAACGGAGTGCATACAAATGGGGTGGAGAATTTGTGGCAATGCGCCAAACAAAAATTTAAGAGAATGAATGGTATGTGCGATGCTCACATACAATCGTACCTAGACGAATTTATGTGGCTGCGCACCATAGGAGACAGAAAAATGCGGTTCCAAAAAGCCTTGGAACTTATACGACATTATTAAGCAGTTTAAAATTTTGAAACTTTTTTGTATTTTTTTTATTAACTAACGATAATTAATAGACGATACTTCTGTTTTCTTTTTTATATGAAAATATAATGTGCAAATAAAATTAAAAATAGTTCTCATGTTTATAACATATTTTAAAAATAATAAATAATGATATTAGAATTTTATTAAAAATTACAAATATAAAAAAATGATTCGGTAAAAAATGATTCAGTTAAGAAAATCACAAATTGAAAAAAATAAAGCGCTTCGGTTGGTCATGAATGTTAATGAAGGGCGGAGCCAAATTTAAAGTTTTCAATACTATTCTATGTAAACAACAGGAAGCATGGTTTCATACTTGTTTACCGATATTTCTATTATTACCTACTTCCTACTTCCTACTACTCTTACCATGACTTACCATGACTACAGTTATACAATTAGCATCAATATGTATGTAGCCACCATTGTCCATTACCTTACATTGATTATGATTACATATTACATTTACATTACACATTGGCACGAACAAAATTTGTTAAGATTTGATTTTTTATATTTATAATATAGATAGAGCACAAAGAATGTGCTCTCATAAAAAATCAAATATCAATCTTTGATTTTGATTTGAAAAATATTTTAATTAACTCTGGATCAATTATTTAAACTATTATGAAAATAATTCGATCCCTAGCCAGGTCAGATCTCCAGGTTTTGTATGAGATGATTATCATGACATTAATAATTATTATATTGAAAATTATTTATATATCTATCATGATCAAAAATTTTTTATTGTGATTGGTTTTAGAAAGATAGCATTTTTCAGTAAGGATCTCCGATCTCGATTTCTCTTACTATTAAATGTTAAAACATACTGACTAAACTTTGAAAAACAAACAGGTAACTGGTAAACCGAAGAGTAAGCGTTTAATTTAAAATTAAAGTTTAAAAAATAAACAAATTAAAATTATTAAATTAAGCCAATTAGGGTTTTAAAGAAATTTTGACAAAAACGTATTTCGCTAAATCAACGAAATTAAAAAATTTTCTAACCTTTCTGAATTCTTTAACAGACAGACCAGCCTCGATTTTAATAAAGAATTACGTAGTTCCAAAATTTAACAACAATCCGAACGATCGCCAATTTATAAGCCGACTCAATCATATGACCAGCCACGCTAACGAATCATTTTATACAAATCTACATTATTATACATATACATATTTATATATTATTATATATAAATATATACACAAACTCGCATACATTTATTATTCATGCATACATACATACATACGCACACCAGATATATGTAGCTATGCATATATAGAGAATAATATACCTACTGATATGCATACAATACATAAATGTATAACAGTCTTTGTTAATTTGTTAATGACGGTCATGTGAGTTTTCATTTGACAGAACCAAAGAGAATAAATATCGACCGAGGTCAGCAACGAATAAATAAACGTCTTAAATATTTGGAGATAATTAAATGAAAACTTTTAAAAAATTATTTAACCTAAAAACAATCAAAACGTTAACATTTTATTTTTTTTCAAAACTTTCTAAGTCAAAGGATTTTCTCGTTGGTTTAGTATTTTGGGTGGTTTCTTGTTTTTGGCTTCTGAACAAGTGAGTTCTTTTCTTCTCTTTTTTATGACTAATTTTTTCGATATCTTTTTCTATAACTTGTGGATATTATTATGTCCTATTCTAGAGACTTTCTCGTAAGCCTCTCTTATACTCTTTTGTCTTTGTCTACTACGAGAGTAGTTTGGCGTCGAATTTTATACTTTAATTTTAGGGCTAATAATAAAAACAATAAATCTAACTTTAACAAAAATTAAATATAGTTAGTAACAATAATTATAATAATATTAATAGCAAGTATAATAACTTTGTTAAATATTACTGTAATGTAATTAATATTAATGATAATAATTTTATTAATTTAAATAATTTAACTAGATTTAAAAGTACCAATATCAAACCTACCTCTACATTTTCACTATTTAATATTAACATAAGATCAATAAATAAAAAAATCGCCCTATATACAGCGAATAATCTCACCCGCCTTATCTGATTTTTTTAGTCCTACTGAAACTTGGACTCTAACTCTCCTTCTCTTATTCTTGCTAGTCCTGATGGTTACGGCTTTCTTGAACTCTCCATAACTCCAAAAGATCTTCTTTCATCTTCTCATTCTTCTTATTGGAGTGTCTATTTTATAAATCTCTATTTATTGCTTCCATGAATGATTAATACTTCCTTTAATTTTTCTTCTTTTGAATGTCTTGTTGTGTCTCTAAAGTCTCCTTCTTTATCTTTATATATGGTCATTGCTATAAGGCATGCGGATTCGCACGGCGAACACGCCGTTGAGATGCTATGAAGTGTGAAGCCGCTTAGCGAATTAGACGTTGAAATGGTATAAGGCGTGCGAATCGCGGGTGAATACGACGCTTGAAATTATAAATCGTGAGGCACAAGCACTTCGAATTTGACGTTGAAATCCTATAAGGCGTGCGAATCACGAGACGGCGAATACGTTTGAACGGTGTAAAGCGTGAGAATTCGACGTTAATATGAAAATAGAAAATAACCCGCACGCCGAATTTGACGTTGAGATGCTATAAGGCGTGTGATATTTGTTATCAATGAATAACTACGAATTCTGCCTAAAATTATTTTGAACAGCTTTGAAAAAGCTCACTTTAGCCTCGTATGGGTAAGCCTTTTCAGTGTCAATGCCTTTGTTAGCTTTGATGTATTTGAAAGCATTGTCCATGAGACCACCATTGCAACCGTTGTTATCATAATTGAAAGAGCAGTCGACAAGGTTCTGCTCACTGAGTTCGACCAACTCTCCTGTCTTCCTCATGTGTTGACCTTCCAATGAACCGGTCTGCCCAATTATGATTTTAAATAAGCATGGTTTCAATAAGAAGCAATCATTAAAATCTATCATTGGTTTAGTCATTAAATATTAATGAAGAATGAGAAACGGAAACAGTGGAAAATAAACCTAACGAGAAAATGAATTAAAAATTTTAATAAAATATACAATACTAACGGCACTGAAAGCCCAGCATGATCCACAGTGACCCTGAAATAGTGAAAAAAACGATTATGATAACAAACAATGATGATGTATCAGAGGTGATTGCATCAACAAGCAACCGTGGATTGCTTTTATTTATACACAGAAAACAACCATCCAACAAACAATGCATTCACACAAGTTAAAACAATTTTTTTTATGTTAAATAAATCAATAAATCATTCTATTACACAACAATCAATCAAGCAAGCAAACAAACCTGATCTTTTACTTGCGTGACGAGTCCCTTCTTTCTCCAATCGACCTCAGTGGGCAAGGTCATGTTAATATCGGGCGACAAGTATGTTGAACCTCCAACCCGCTCAGCATTTATTTTTAGCCCGTTCATAGTTTTTTTGAACTCGTGAACAGTCTGAGTTCATTTTAAAGAAAATATGAATTTTGATTGAAGGCATGCTTTTAATGTTGATGATGTTCAACTGCTAGTTCTGAGATAAAAAGAGTAGTTAAAGATACTGCAACACTGATGATACCATGATGATGGTAAGAGGATGATAGTGGTGGTGCCAAAAATTAATGTCATGATTTGATCGCTTAACGATGATTGTATAAAATATGATACTGATGATGTTATATATCATGATAAGGGAAATGACAACGTAAAGATGATAAGAAACTACCTGATGGAGACGATGATATAATAATGATGGAGATGATAGCGTGAAGATGTTACGAGACTTTCAAGCATACATTACAAACCATATCAGCAAATTGATTGATCCTAACAGTAAATGATCTTTCACCATTGTCATACAGTTGGTTGTGTTCAGAAATGAACCTGTAATTCACAGCAAAGATTCTCTTTCTTAAATTTTCTTATTCTTCATTGGCATAAACTTTGTCTAAAAAATTAACAAATTGATTTTCAAAATTGAATAAAAATGTTCTGTAATAATTTACACAAAGGTTAAAAGAATTTCAAACAAGCAAATGCTATTATATTTATGATTGTTTGTTATGCGACCATAAACGTATATTCATTTTTAGAATCAAATATTAGTACTAACTGCGGAATGATTTAAATTTGAGCCAGTCGACTTCCACATCAAGAACTTCTTGAAAGTTTGAATACAGGTTGGCGCTTTGACTCTCCCAGTGCAAATCCCTTGCTAGGGCAGTACAGAAAAATACAATCTTAATCATCTGGAAAATATGTAGTGCATATATATATAGATATTAACATAAAAAAATTTCTGTTGAAATTTTGCATTAGCATTATTAATTTATATACTGAAGGATGTCAAAACGTTGCATCAAATATCATAAATTTATTTATTTATTTCAAAAAAGCTGACAATAAAAAATTAACTCTTTTAAATTTTATGCAACATATTTAAACATTAATAATTGTTAAAAAGTAGCATTTGATAGACTTTTGAAATACTGAAAAGTCAGAAATTAAATTAGATAAATCTAAAGCTAATAATAAACATTTGGCAAGAATGCTCGTCATCCAAGACTAAATGCTGTTGAAAAAATTGTTCACAATAGGCAAAAGAGCCCTTAATGGACAAAATAGTAATATCAGTAATTTTAAGAGCTAATTTGATTAAATACAAACCAATCAATCAATCAATCAATCTTCGTTTTGCGTCCAGAGACCCGGTTTCCCGAGGTAGGACGTTGTTTTCTTTGCCATCAACTTTTTGCGCCAAATTAGACGGCGCTTACAGTTTGGCGCTTTGACTTTCTAATCCATTTCATTTAAATTTAGAGCTTTCATGTCTTGCTCGATTGTTTGCGACCAGGACTTCTTTGGACGGCCTTTGGGACGTGTGCCAGGTACTTCAACATTTGCAAGAGAAGTTATAGCACTGTTTCCACTTCGTTTGACATGACCAAGCCACCGCAGACGGTGTTGCCGGCATATCATCTAAACCAGCACGACGCAGGATTTCGGTAGATTAAATACAAACCAAATATATTTATAGTATTTAGACCATCAAACCAATGTAATGAATTAACATCTAATAGCAATAGACAAATATGGCAGATGAGAACACAAATTCATTGTCCAAGCCCTAAGAACAATAAAAACTTTGAATCTTATAGCAACATTAACAAACTGTTTGCTTATAATATATCTTATGATATTCATAGCACTGTGCATTGCTACACTGGTTGACACTGGTATATATGTCTTTTATAAAACGGAACTGTTTGTAGAAATCGAGTTTGCAAAATACTGCTGAAAACCTAACCAAATGCAGTCCCAACACCCAAACGATATCAGTTTCAAAAACAGCAAGCTCCGTTACACGCTAATGTTAATGATCATTTTTTAATAAATTAATTGTTAGAAATGTCAAAGCAAAATACACCGAGAATGTGAATATGCTTGAATATTTTTGCATTCGAACCCAGCCACTGCAGCAACAAGACTAGATTCCTTAACTATTATATATTTTATTTATTTCAAAAGCCCAAGTCATACATAATTTGTAGACAAAACCCGGAGATCTGATCTGGCTGGGTGCTGAATTATTTATATTAACTTAATTAATAATTTGATCTAGGATTAATTAAAATATTTATCAAATCAAAATCATAGATTAGATTAAGATTAATGTAATGTAATGTTATCTGTAATACGTAATCGTAATCAATGTGAAATGTAATGTTATGGACAATGGTTGCAGTATGCGTTATAATGATGATCCTATGAATATAACAGTCGTAGAACTATAATAATTGTAGGAAGTAGAAGTATGCAATGATTTTACTGATAATCATTACCAGTGGCGACTTTTGGGCGCCCCGTGAAAATTTTGGCCTTTTTGGTATAAAAAACAACTTTTTTATTTTTCACCCAGGCTGTCCGAATCTCCGATTTCGATTTCATTTACTATTATAACTTACTGACTAAACTTTAAAAAACAAAAAAATTATGCCAAAAACGAGTTTTGCAAAAAACAACGACAAAATTAAAAAACTCTCTAACCTTTCAAACTTTTTTATAGACAGACCATCCTTGATTGTACAGAATAACGAAGTTTTAAACCAAACGATCGTCAATTTATAAGCTGACTCAATCATATGACCAACCACGCCAATTTACCATTTTATTTATTCCAATATACAATGTTATTATATATATTTGTTATATAATATATTATATATTATATATATATATATATATATGTATATATATGTATTTGGGTTCAGACTCTCGTATATACAGTTATTAAGAAATATCACCGCATTTTCGAGTTTGTAACTAAGCAGGCTTTTCAATTTTTCGAACAATTATTTTATTGATATTATTCAATTTATTCAAATTAATATTAAAATTTTTAATTTTTTTTAGACTGCATTTTTCATATATACATAATAGCTTTTTCGGTAACCTTTACCATCAACAGTGTAATAGAGTTTGTGATATTGTTATATGTAGTTCACCTGGTATTTTTTGTTATTTTATCAAAGAAACTCCATGTTTCATTGTTTCTTTGTGTGAGTAATTTTTTTGGGTTACAGGGTTTTTATTTTCTATCAATAAAGCATCTGCCATTCTCAAATTGCTTATATTATGGTTGTGAAATAACACTTTGATATTTGAGTTTAATATTTCGATTGTTATTTTTATTTGGTATGAATCAATTACATGATTTTTTATTGCACCATTTTGTGTATGCATTGTTGACCTTCTTGATAAAGTCGTAGTAGTAAATCCGATATATTCTGTATTTCGGTGCCTACAATCACTGATTTTACAATCAAAAGAATATACTAGATGACTGCTCTCCAGTAATAATAAACCAGAATGTATGTACCTATACATATATATCGAATAATATATCTACTGGTATGCACTGCACACAATACATAAATAAATCTTTCTGATTCTACACTCTATCTATTAAATAAAGCTTTTAAATTTGCTGCTCGTTAAGTTGCTCGTTATCATAACTTTTATCATTTATCTCCATATATTGTTTTCTTGCACTGGCTAACTATAAAATAAATTTTAAAGTTTGCAAATTAATGTACAAGTCACTATCTTAATTATTTCCTAAGAACTTATCAGATGTATTATTTAAACCTAATCGCTCGGTTTACGATCGCCTTCTCGTCCTCACTTCTTCTGTTAAATACTTTTATGCTAAATTTGTGTTTGTTTTTTCTGGCCTTTTTTCTGGAACTCTCTATTTTTTTGACTATTTCGCCATCACTTACAAAGTTCAGAGTGATTTTCAAGACTTGTTAAATTCATTGAGGAGCGCTAAAAAAGGTTAAATATTCATTATCCTCTTCCTAGTTTCAGAGGAATCAACTACATGCACAAACTTCGTATATGAATACACGATATATGAAGCATGTAATAGGTGGGGATCTTTTTGTCATATTCGAATCGAACCCGGTCACTGCGCGCACTGTGAATCAGCACCAGGTGACCTTAACCGCTAAGTCATCACTCTGCCGCTATTGAAAAGGTGCTTTATAAACTATTTGACTGATCAATTAATTATTTGATTGATTGATTGATAAATTAAAAACCTGAAAATTTTCATAAAATATACATATGACTCAATGCTAAAGCACTTTATTGTTTTTTTTTCACACTTAAAAACGATGATTAAAATATTAATATTTGTTGCTGATGGTGAAGTGGAGGCGATGATGAGGAAGATGAAGATGATGATGATACAACAAGTGACAGCAGTATTTATTTTCATTATTCTAAGTACAACTATCGCCATTTACAATCATCAATTACATGGATTTGTTATTAACATTAGTTATTATTATTATTATTATTATTCGTTCTATGGCCATTTTCATTTTACGAAAAACATATAAACTCAGCAATGAGTTTGTCTTATGACATATATTGTGGAAGAAAAAATGCGTAAATCTAATTTCAGATGTGTCCTTATTACTCCCATGCACTTGCCCTAGACAATGAGTCTGGCAACATCCTACCTTTTACATATATTTTACATTTAAATTTTAATCATATTATATTATGGCTTCATTCATTTTAAAATATATTTTAGTTTATGGTATCTTACGCGACAATAAAAGAGTGTTTCAATTATTAATATTGTTATTATTATAACTGAAAGATCTCAAAGTCTGGATTAGCTAGTTGCCGTCTGGTTTCTATAATGATGTGACATTGTTTATGAGGTCACTGTACATCGTGTGTGTGTGTGTGTGTGTGTGTGTGTGTGTGTGTGTGTGTGTGTGTGTGTGGTGTTGGTTGTTAATATGTGAAATTGTTATTATTAGTTGATTGTTTTATTTTATTTTTTTGTGTGCTTCTTCATAATTGTTTGTTTTGCGAATTTTTGTGTTGAGCCCTGTTGAATGTTTAATGTTTATAATTTGGGCTATATCAATTTAATTGTTTGATTGATTGATGGGTTTCATGACTGTCGAAAGCTTTTACTGCGTCACCTACTGATTCAAATGATAAAATGCTATTTGGATTTGTCTTTTTATTTTGTTTTTCATTTTCTATCTCGTTTGGACTCGATTTTTTAAAGAATATTTTAAGAATGAATTTGTTATCAAGACGTTGATAAATGTTTATTAGGCCATGAAAGAAATGATAAAATAACTGGAACAGTCAGTCATCAATTGAACTCTATTATGAACTCTATTCTATTCATTGTCAGTGTCTCTGTCAGTATAAAGTGACCATTCGATATACACGTCAGTATAGTTAATGCCTTCAATATTTGTTATGAGTTGTAAGTTGCAACGCACTTCGACGATCTCCTCAACTATCTTGCAAACAAATTTTTACGTTTTTGAACTTTATGAACTGTAAAAACTTAAAAATAGAATTCAAAAAGTTCGAACTTCACAACTATGCTGGTAGCAAAGTGAAAAAAGTCGATAATATCATTAGCTCATTTGACCAACAACGAAAATATAAAAAAATTGATTCTGACTACAATAATGCCAACGATAGTGGAAATAATGTACGATGACCAAGACAATTACCAAACATTGGTTACTTATGATTATTTAATATATAATGCAACGATTCACAATTAAAGGTTACAAATAAAACAAAGATCATTAAAAAAAAATTGTCAACTATTTCAAACAATAATGTATCGTTTTGTTTTGACGATGGTCAAATTATTTGGTCAAATGGAGAGCATTTGTCCAAATATTCTGATGTTTTCAAAGCAATGTTTAATGCCTCTTTTATGGAATCAACCGCGCGATCTTGAGCACACCAAAAACATCGATTGAAATTTTTGGCGCTTTGAACAGCTGCACGTCATTTGCTAAATGAACAGCTCCAATGCAAAAATATTTCTATAAGATATAAATTACTGCAGACATTCTCAAGTTACCTGACAACTATTTGGTTACATCTACTGAACAACACTGCAGTGAATTGCTTTTTCGCGGGTGCGGTTCGGATGCGGGTAATGAGAAGTGCAGATGCGGGCGGTTGCGGACGTGAACACTGCGGATGTGGGAGGTTGCGGTTTAGAAAAATCTTTTCTGCTTGGGGCTCTAGTTGGAGTTTAGTAAATTTTTGTTCAGAGATAATAAAGTTACGTTGTAAGCTGGTAATGGAAGTTTTTAACTGTTGGTACCTTGATATAATAATATGGACACAATATGTTTCCATGGACAACATCAATTCAAAACACGCTCCACCACGGCGTACCACAAGGATCCATACTAGGACCCCTTCAATTTTCTATCTACATAAATGACTTCTGCAACGTTTTGCCCTCAACCAAATGCGTACTGTTCGCAGACGACACCAACCTTTTTTCACTTCCAACAACCTACCTGTTTGCTCTGAACTTATCAATCTTGAACTCCAAAAATACTTCAACTAGTTATCTAATAACAAACTAATTATAAATTATTTGAAATGTGCATACGCTATTTTTGCCCCAAAAATACTCACCGACCAAGCTCCTAACCTATTAATTAATGGCGTTCCTGTAAACCACACCCTGTCAACCAAATTCCTTGGAATCACCATCACAAAAAATCTTTCATGAAATTCTCACCTACAAACTACCTCAGACAAAATCAACAAACTTATAGGCATCTTCTACAAAATCAAATATAAACTCTCTCTTTCTGCTCTACACACGCTTTATTACACATTCATCTACCCCTATCTAACCTACTGCATCACACTATGGGGAACTAGTCCAAAAAGCCACCTGAATAACTTAATACTTTCACAAAAAAGATCAATAAGTTTAATTTTTAACCCTAAACCCAATTCTCATACAAAACCCTTCTTCCTAGCAAAAAAAATTTACCACTTAACTTCATCTATCTTTATTACTCTGCTTTATTCGTTTTTAAATTTATCAACAATCTTCTCTCACCTCACTTTATTAATTTCTACACATTAATTATTTCTATCCAATCTACAACCACTAGACACACCCTTTTCTTCTACATCTACAAAACTCGCCTTAAATTAATCCAGACAAAAATAAAAATAGCTGGTCCTAAAACTTGGACAGAACTTGTACCTCCCCATTTAAGAGCCATCATAAACCTACAACATTTCAAGTCAAAATTCCGTGCTTTTTTATTGACACTGGATCTCGACTCCAACCACCTAAAACTATATTAAGAATACGTTAGAACAAATGATGCGGATGAACGGTGTTTATGAATGGTTAATGGTTATGAATGTGTTTATATATGTACTGAGCGAACATTTACATAGTTATATGTCTATATATGTATAACACGAACATTTACTTATTTATCTTCAATTATCTTTTTGCTTCAGTTATTTTCCTTATTTTATTTCATATATCTACCTGCGGTTGCCACCACAAGACGTACAGTCTTATTCGGTCTCCGCATATTCAACTTCATAACTTTTATTCACTTATTTGATATGTTGTTGATTATGAATAAAACTTTGAAAATGAAAATGAAATAATGGAGTTTATGTTTGAAGTTGGTCGTGGTCAGCAGTCGGTTGGTACGTCGAGATTATTAAAAATAAAAATAAGAAAAGTATTAACTTTACGTTGGTGGCCGTTGGACAACTACGGAGCATTCTATATACAACCAACTGCACCCGTCGTTCAGTTCATACAACAACAAACTTCTTCGTCGGTCTTGAACTAAAAAACGTGATCCAGACAAAAATTGCAGTGAAATGAACAATCTTAAGGAAGATTTACGACAATATTGAGCAACTATTTATATGCGTGGTACGAAGAAGGTCGAAAATTTAAAAATAAATAAGAAAAAACGCAGAAGGCATTCATTATATTATAAAGAAGTTCATAAATTTTTATTTTGAAAGAGGAGATCGAGTGAAACAGAATTGAAACAGTCTGATAATAAAAAATTATCAACAAAGAACATTTGAAAAATAGCATCATTAAATTTTGAATCAAATAACAGAAATATTACAATATTTATGAGAGTTGTCATAAAAATAGTTTTGAATGCGAAATCAGTAAAAATGATCTGAAAACGTTGACGTGTTTTGTTAGACGAGAGGGTAACTGGCCATGTTGGCAATTCCACATTGGTTTTCCTTGTTCCTGCTCATGTACACGTAGCCTTTGTCACCCCATGATGTAGCCCAGCTGTCAAATTTCGATACGTAATTATTCTAATAAATGTATGTGAACTTTTGTTATTTTCAGTTTACAACATGAACTAAATTAGTGCAATCATTATTCAAGTGAAGAAGTTTTACATACTCATACATATAGTATAATTAACAACAACGAGCAAAAACAAAGATGCCAACCTGTTTTTGACGATGTAATAATCCTTTCCTTCGATACTTCCATAGCCAACAGCAAGCACCGCATGGTTCAAATGTTCAGGGTTGCATTCTGGCTCATCATAAACACCTGATTGAATATTTTAAATTTGATAACACGATTATGTTGGACCAAGACTTAGAATCTATACTAAGCCAAAAATGCGTTATTATTGGGCGGCGTGATGGCTCAATGGATAAAGGTGCCAGGTCTTGCTGCTGCAGTGACTGGGTTCGAACACAAAGAGATACCCGCCTATCATGTGTATGATGCGTGGTTTGCACGCGTATTCATATACGCTGTATGTGTTTGTCGTTGAAACCTCTGAAGCTAACGCAAACGGGAGGGATTAACCTTTAATCAAGATTAAGACGAAACGTTCATCGTGGCGTTATTTGTGCAAATATTTTGTGAATTGAAGTAAAAATACTTAAAAAGTTTTTCGTCTTTAATTCTTTAACAAAATATTCTCACAACATATTACGAATCATTTCATAAAAGCACATGGAACAAAATTTTTCACGAAATAACATATACAAACAGTTAATTTACGTAAATATTAAACAATCTGAATCTAAATATAAGAAATTTTTCCATCAACAAAAAACACAAAACAGCACAAACCTGATTTGTAGAACATGAACGATTTGTGGCTAGCATCGATGGCAACAGACACAGGTCCAACTGTGGCTAGGGCTTCTTGCAATTTTTCTTCGCTGTCTTCTGGAATGTCGACAAATCCGGTCACGGTGGCACCAATTTTGTTCTTTTTGAACCTGCATTTTTTATCCTGTGGTCATTGAAATGTTAGACCATGTAGCATCAAAAATATTTTCTGAAAAACGATTTTAAAAAATTAAATTGTACTGACAAATTTGCTAATATTGAATAACAACAAATTTTGCCAAAAATTATTTTGAACAGCATTGAAAACACTCACCAGAGCCTCGTATGGGTAAGTTGTTTCAGTGTCAATGCCTTTGTTATCTTTGATGTATTTGAAAGCGTTGTCCATGTAACCTCCCAAGCAACCGTTGTTACCATAACTGACAGTGCAATCGACAAGGTTCTGCTCACTGAGTTCGACCAACTCTCCTGTCTTCCTCATGTGTTGACCTTCCAATGAACCGGTCTGTTTGTTGATTGGTTAATTTGTACATCATCAATGACATATTCAGTTATGAAACTTAACATCGACAAAATTTACTGATTTAGAAAGTTTCGAAGTTAAACAAACAAGAAAACGTAGGACAGATGTTAATAAAATAAAAAATTAATAAAATAAAATAATGTAAAAGTTTTGAAAACTAACTGTGCTGAAAGCCCAACATGATCCACAATAACTCTTGAATGAAATAGAGAAAGTTATTAGTAACAACGCTAAAAACTCAAAAACAGTTTTATTTCAAACTGTAATGTTTTAGTCAAATGTTTTAGTTATATTTTCATTTAAATTCAGCAACTTCAAATTCATAAAATCATTTCCATCATCTGATGACATCAATCATTAACAATTTCAAATCAAACATTTCAATCAATAAATTAAACCAACCAGTCAATCAATCAATCAATCAATTAATCAATCAATCATTCAATCAATCAAGTAAGCAAACAAACCTGGTCTTTGACTTGGGTGACGAGTCCCTTCTTTCTCCAGTCGACCTCAGTGGGCAATGTCATGTTGATGTTGGGTGACAAGTATGTTGACCCTCTGGCCCTTTCAACGTTTATTTTCAGTCCGTTCATTGTCTCTTTGAACTCGTGAACAGTCTGAGTTCATTTTTAACAAAATGAAAATATTAAATGTCATGCAAGGATTGATATTAAGGACAATGATGATTGATCGTCACTCTGATGATTATGGCTTTGTTAACGATGCGGTGATATTGTAGTGATGATGACGTTGTAGCAAAAACGTTATTTAATTTCTTGCATTATTTATCAATAAGGAGGCGGTGGAATGTGATACTCACAAAATGAGATGACGATTGTGAATGATGATTATGAATTAAGTCAATTTGGTGTCATGATGTGTTTAACGACATAAATTGCAAATAAATACATTTGATAAAGACCAAATATGATAACTAGATGTAAGATATTTTTACTCTTATGATTATATACGATTGGACAATTATGATGCGATGATGGTGGATAGAGTGATATGAAAATGCTACAAAGCTTTCAAGCGTATGAGCAAGACCAAAACCAACCATGTCAGCAAATTGATTGATCCCAACAGTGAATGACCTTTCACCTTTTTCGTGGAGTTGGTTGTGGTCCATTATGAACCTGTGGTTCATACCAAAAATCTTTTTTCTCAAATCTTCTTCTTCTTCGTTGGCATAAACTTTGTCTTAAATGAGATAATAATTATTATTAATCTATTCACTCTGCTGAATTTTCTGCAATATTTTTTATTAACTTAATTTTTTCTTTCAGAAATAAATGTCAAAAACTAGTTTTATGAAATTTTTAGGTAGGTCATGATTGAAACTCTACCAACACATCTTAGTTTTCGAGTTCGATTTATTTTCTATATCATGTCACAAAAATGTTTCCATTAATTTTCAACACTTAACATTCTCACTTATTTCTTTTTAACTTTTTTTTGGCTTTTTTCATTTTTTCAGTCCAAATTGAAATAAAAGCTTGTTAAACTAGGTATAGCTAGCATTGCGTGCCAAGTTCTATTCTAAAATAGTGCTACAGTCTCACACACCACAAACAAAAGATGGTTAAATATTTTACAGCCTGAACTTTTAGATCATTAAAATAAAACCTTTTGTGATAACTTTTAGAAAAAATGAAGTAAAATATTATTATTATTATTGTTAATATTACTATATTTTCATTTTGATTTCCATCTAGGATGTTTTAATGCTCAAATAACCATATTGCTTCAAACAAGGTTCACCAATTTATATAACAATTTCATGCAATTCCAAATAATTCCGCTTTCGTTCGTACTCACATCTACACATTCTCAAGGCGGCGTGATGGTCTAATGGTTAAGGTCGCATGGCGCTGTTTCGCAGTAACCAGGTTTAAATATGACGAAAAGATCCCCTCCTCCGCCTATTAAGGGCTTCGTGTGCGATGCGTCGTTTAGTTTGTATTCACATACGATGTTTGTGCGCTTCGTTGAATTCTCTAAATTTTGGAAGAGTGTAATTGACCTTTAACCTTTTTTAATTGACCTCAGGCGAGACCAGATATGCGCGTGCATTGAGAGTGCTAATTTACGTGCGGTTAATATGTATAGTCTTTTATTTAAAAAAATATCAATGCTAACTGTGTAATGATTTAAATTTCATCCATTCGACTTCCACGTCAAGAACTTCTTGGAGGTTCGATCGAAGATTGTCTCTCTCGTTCTGCCAGTAGATATTTCTTGCCAAGACGGCCGAGAACAACGAAAGGATAATGAGTTTGAACATCTGTTGAAAAATCATGTAAAGAATTGTTGCAAATTGTCATTTTGTAAGTTTACTAGGTGAAGACTTAATAAAATATTATATTTTAGAAATTGAAAATTTTACAATGAAATAAAATATTGTTTCACATGATTTATTGCATTCAATTTTATTATTCATTCAAATTGTATCATTAAAAATAATTTATTCATTATTATCATTTCTGTCAACAATTAAAATACAAAATAAAACTTAAAAAATTGCACTGAATTTTTTTTCAAAGATTTTTCAAAAAGCCGTAAATTTATTTCAATGATTAATTTGTTTCCTTTTGCAGGAATCTGTACAGCCAGTGCAACATAGAATATTCCTCGTTCGTTCGCATTGCACACACGACGTTCAAAAGTAATTTTTATAAGCATAAACCGACACCACATACGCACAGGTCTTATTGCAGCTTTTTAGTTTCGCCGCAACAGCATTCGACATGTTGAAATGAAAAACTTATCCGATTTAGCCGTTTCCTATTAAATATTAAATACCACGAAAAACAAATGAAAAATTGACCTTTTTCTAATTTGATTCTCTTTGACTAATGATATCTTTAAATAGTACAAACCAAGTTAAACTTTTAATTACAGTACAAACGGACAGGACGACTTTTTATAAGAAATTTCAATCAACATCATGTGAACAATTGCATTACATAGTTTACTAAATCTATACTATTATGTATGTATGTTTTTGTGTATGTATTTATGTATATATGTATGTATATATATATATATATTATATAAACACGCATATATATAAATGTATATATATATACATCACACTCAGATATAAATAAAGAAAACCCCAATTATGTAAATTTTATTTGACAAAAACAAATATTAAAATGGTATTAAACGAATGACTTTGAACTTTAATATTTGTAATCAATTCTTTATTATTTTAAATTTTAAAATAGTGGAGTTCAAAGTAACTTTTTTTTAATACTTATCCATCTTGATATAATTTTTTAATGATATTTTTTAGTATTTTATTTGTTTTATTTTACTAAACAATGTGATCACTTAAAAATTATTTTTAAAATATTCTTAACACATATAAAACAGACACACACGCGCGCGCGCGCGCTCACAACATATATATATATATATTGATTTATTTCTATATATTTGAAGGATGACCTAATCTCAGGTCATTTATATATATATATATATATATATATATATATATATATATATATATATATATATATATATATATATATATATATATATATATTAGAGATGCACCGGATTCAGGTTTTTCAAATCCGGTCGGGATTTAAAATTCAAAAACCGGCCGGGGCCGGATTTTAGTTACCATTTTACATAAGTTAGAAAAAACACTCACATTTACGGTTATCTACATGTTGAACATCAAAAAATAACACCAAGCAAATAGTTATTTAATTCAAATATATGAATAAGTTGTGTGGCCAAATTCTGTACACAAAGATCAGCTTATAATTTATGCATATTTGCATAACCCAAATTAAAGCACAAAGAGAATTATCCAGCTCACCGTACAATTTGTGATGTTGTAATTATGTGTCATGTATACCTAGCCTAACCTTTCTTAAATCATGTGCTTATGTATCTCTCTCTCTCTCTCTCTAAATATATATATATATATTTAGAGAGCCGGATTCGACCGGGGCCGGATTCGACCCGATTTGAAAAAAAAGCCGGATTTTGGCCGGGGCCGGAGCCGGGGCCGAACTTCGGTGCATCTCTAATATATATATATATATATATATATATATATATGTTAAAAATGTCAGATATTAAAAGTTTTTATTTAACCTTGATAAGATGATAAAAGTCTCGTTAGAAAAATTGAGAACCTCAACTACAAGTTGAATAATGCTGAAAACGCAGTGATCTTTATAAATAATTGTATGTATGATAGCCTAAACCCAAAATATATATATTTGTAAATATGCATATATGTACATATAAAAAATTAGGTTTAAGGTCATTACGTATACAATTTTCATTAAATTCTATTTCTGTAGTATTATTTATTAAACTAACTTTAAATTAAAATTAATACTATAGCGATAGATTTTAATGAAAATTGTATATATAATTATAAATTGTATATATATATATACATACATCCTCCAGTGTACAATGATTATTCAGCAAAAAACACAGTACAATGATTATTCAGCAAAAAACACAGAGCTGACCAAAATGAGGAAGGCATTGGGGGATGAAATCGTTCCAACGAAAAAATTAATTTATTGTTATTTATTTATTTACATACATGCAGATTGCAAACCAGTGAGTCCTATACCTCCGTCTTCTAAAGAAAGCAAACCTTAGCAAATAAATAGTGAAAATTTTTATGATTACCTGGAGAATAATAAAAAATTTTTGGATCATGTGTTGGCTGAAGAACTCAACAGTTACTTGGCTAACCCATCTAAGAATATTGAAAGTTTATTTTTTTATCCATCAGTATGTGCAAGTTTCATTAAACTAAATTCAACATTACCTAGCTCTGCAGTGTTTGAGCGTCTTTTCTGTGTTGCTGGACAAATTACAACTGATGAACGCTGTAGGTTGTCTAATGATCATACCAATAAAATGATTTTTTGAGAGATTATCTTAAACACACATTTAAAAAAACATTTATTAAAAAAAATATATATGTTGGTTAATAAATTTATAAAAAATTTTTCGAAGGGTTTTTTAATAATAATAATTAAAAGTAGTTAAAAAGTAGTTAACTATTAAAAGTAGTTAATTATTAAAAAGTAGTTAAAAGTAGTTACTAACTATGTTTTTGTCAAGTAGTTAACTACAGTAGTTCACTACTTTTTTAGAGTAGTTAACCCATCACTGTCTACATATTTGTAGTTAATGGAAGGATAAGCGTTTGTATGATTGCTTTCGGTTATTCAGACTCATGAACTTTATCTTTATAGTTGCATATTGTATATATATTGTTACAGATCGAGATAAAAACTGATAGTCAGAAATTGCATTGAGATTGAACCGCTTGTAAACTAATTAGCAAGTGTAAAGTAATTAAAATATTATAAATCCATATATGGACGTGACACTGCTATGTGGCACATTTACAAGCAGATCGGTAGCTGTATAAACAATGAAGAAGTAGAGAAAAGGGGGAGAAGAACAACGAAGAAGAAGAACGAGAATTAAGAAGAGGTCAGATGAAGTTTCGAGCAGAAGAAGAGTCCTATTATCGCAAAGAAGTTTTGTGTGTACTGCAAGCAAATTAGCGATAACGTCCGGGGAAAATTTAATAACGAAGAATTCTACACGCGGTCTGCGAGTGAATTACGATAATTTTCCGAGAAGCGAATACTGAGGATTTACGGCCAAGAAACATCTGACGACAGAAGCTTAATTATCTGTCGATTAGTTATTATGCTGTATTCTAACGATTTTAACAATTGAATAAACAAGTGATTGTTGACAGCAATACACACAAGTGATTGCCAGCACAGTTTTCTTTCTGACAAACTTCATCAGAAATAAGTCTGTTCAGGAGTCAAGAATCCGCGTAGAGAAAAATAACTGTACCCTACAAGTTCAAGGGGTCGGTTATAACAATATGTAGTTGATGCAAGGATAAGGGTTTGTATGATTACTTTCAGTTATTCAGACTCATGAATTCTATCTTTATAGTTGTATAGAATTAACATTATCAAATGAACTTGTTGAGGCACAATCAACAAACAATTTTAAAGCAGGTATTGATTGTTGGATGAACAACAATCAATCAAAGAATCGTATATGCTGCCATGACTGACAGCATGCTCTCTGGAAGACCTCCAGAACAGCATTACTACTGCTACTACTAAGTACAATTACTCGCGGGCCGCATAAAATGCCTTGGAGAGCCTAATCCACGGGTCGTATATGGCCCACTTGTGTTATAAAAGTTTGGTTCATGCAAATGCTTATCTATCCTTGATGAAGTTAGTGGTTTGAAATCAAGGTGAAAAATGTCTGGTTGTTTTTTTATTTGATGTTATTATATAGAACAGATGGTGGTAATTTGAAAAATATTTAAGATAAGTTGAATCTGAAATAAATAAAACGCGCCAAATATGATTTATATTCCATTAAAATAATTTATTATAAAAGATAATTATCATTGAATCAATTTATATTAGCGATTTAAACAAACCAGACAAAAATTAATTGTGAATTAAAATGAATAATGTTAAAATAGAGTGAAACAGAATTAAAACACATTTCTGTTAATGTTGAGATATTATGAAGGTGATCACAGAAAAGTGATGCGCTTTATTTAAATGGGCTATTTCAAAAAACAATGCGATCATAACAAAATTTTTAACAAAAATTTTCTGCAAAACAATCATCACTAAATTTTGAATCAAATAATAAAAATTTTAAATCTTTTATGACAGTTGTTATAAGCATAGGTTTAAATACGAAATCAGTACAAGTTTGTTGGAAAAATAATTACACGGGCAAAATGAATGTTTCAAATGCAGACGTGTTTGTTAGACGAGTGGGTAACTGGCCATGTTGGCAATTACACATTGGTTCTCCTTGTTCCTGCTCATGTACGTAGCCTTTGTCACCCCATGATGTAGCCCAGCTGTCGAATTTCGATACGTTATTATTTTAATGAGTGTATGTGAAGTTTTGTTAATTTCAGTTTACAAAAAGAATCTACTTAGGTGCAATGACATTTTTAGTCATCATAAAAGTAAAGTGACGGATGCAGAAAATTATTTTACACACTCATGAAAGGTTAAAAAAAAGGTCAATTACACTTTTCCAAAGTTTAGAGGATTCAACAAAGCGCACAAACACCAAAAATTAATAGGTGCTAAACGACGCATCACACATGAAGCATGTGATTGGCGACGATCTTTTAGCCATAATCGAACCCGGTTACTGCGAAACAGCACAAGGCGACCTTAACCGTTAGACCATCACGTCGCTGATATAGTATAATTTACAACAAGGAAAAACAAAGATGCCAACCTGTTTTTGACGATGTAATAATCCTTTCCTTCCATACTTCCATAGCCAACAGCAAGCACACCATGATTCATTTTTTCATCATTGCATTCTGGCTCATCTACACACCTGAGTAAATATTTAAATTTTGATAACATGATTATGTCGGCACTGAACCTAGAATCAATACTATGCATAAAATACATTCCAATCAAAAATATAATGAAGCTTTCCATGCAAATAATCTCACAACATATCACGAATTATTTATTCTGTAAAAGTTTATAGAAACAACACAAATCGTTTCAAAACTATATTGACCAACTGTTAATTTATGTAAATATTAAACAATATTAAACAATCGAAATTAAGCAATTTTTCACCAAATAACAACTCAACACAAACCTGATTTGTAGGAACATGAACGATTCGTGACCAGCATCGATGGCAACAGACACCGGTCCAACTGTGGCCAGGGCTTCCTGCAATTNTTCTTCACTGCCTTTAGAAATGTCAACAAATCCTGTCACGGTGGCTCCAATTTTGTTTTCCTTGAACCTGCATTCTCCACTCTGTTGTCAGTTGAAATGTTAGACAATATAAATTTAAAGATACGTTATAAAAATGATTTAACAAAAATTTAAACGTAACGGTTGGTTGACGCCATGAGTGATATTTGTTATCTATAAATAACTACATATTTTGCCAAAAATTATTTTGAACAGCTTTGAAAAAACTCACTTTAGCCTCGTATGGGTAAGCTGTTTCAGTGTCAATGCCTTTGTTAGCTTTGATGTATTTGAAAGCATTGTCCATGAGACCACCATTGCAACCGTTGTTATCATAATTGAAAGAGCAGTCGACAAGGTTCTGCTCACTGAGTTCGACCAACTCTCCTGTCTTCCTCATGTGTTGACCTTCCAATGAACCGGTCTACCCAATTATGATTTTAAATAAGCATGGTTTCAATAAGAAGCAATCATTAAAATCTATCATTGGTTTAGTCATTAAATATTAATGAAGAATGAGAAACGGAAACAGTGAAAAATAAACCTAACGAGAAAATGAATTGAAAATTTTAATAAAACATACAATACTAACGGCACTGAAAGCCCAGCATGATCCACAGTGACCCTGAAATAGTGAAAAAACGATTATGATAACAAACAATGATGATGTATCAGAGGTGATTGCATCAACAAGCAACCAAATGGATTGCTTTCATTTATGCAGAAGAACATTTACAAAAGATAAATATAATTTTTTGTTTAAAATAAATCAATAAATCATTCTATTTCACAACAATCAATTAAACCATCAACCAAACCTGATCTTTGACTTGGGTGACGAGTCCCTTCTTTCTCTAGTCGACCTCAGTGGGCAAGGTCATGTTGATGTTGGGTGTCAAGTATGTTGAACCTCTGACCCTCTCAGCATTCATTTTCAGTCCGTTCATCGTTTCTTTGAACTCGTGAACAGTCTTAGTTCATTTTAAACAAAATATAAATTTTAAAATATTTATAATATAAATATAAAATATAAATTTTAAAATATTTATACTATGCAATGATCGATGACAATAATGATTGAACGTTGCTTTGATGATGGCAGTGTTATGATATGTCATGACAATGATGCGCTGATAATGTAGTGGTGATGACGTTATAGTTATTGCGATTTTATTACATCTTGCATTATTTATTCATGAGGAGATAGACAATTTTGATGATCACAAAATGTGATGACGATGATTATGATGATTTGTCATGATTTGTTTAATGATATAAGTTGCTGTCAATTTCATCTGATAATGACCAAATATGATGACGTGATTAGGCCAGTTTACGTTCTAATGAATAATTTGATTTAACGATTTGGATGTTCTCAATAATTCTACTTCTAACACCTCTACTCTTAGTTTCGGAGTATCTTAGAGTGTTATCCTTGGCCCCTTTCTATTTATGGTCTATACCTCTGAGCTACCTCGTATTATTAATAACTTTTCTTTCTATAGTCATGTATGCTGATGATTCTTATATTTATACTTTTTTTCCTTCATCTAATCTCAATAGTGTTCTTCATACTCTATCTCTATGTCTTTCTTCAATTATTTCTTAGTCTGACTCTACGTGTTTTAAACTTAATCCTTCTAAATTTGAATTAATTTGTTTTAATAAATCTAAAAATTCGATTATTATTCCTTCTATTATCTTACCTGATTCTAAAACTCTTGATGTTTTTTACAAATTTCGTAGTCTAAGCTTTATCTTTGATTCTAGTATGTCTCTTTCCCCTCAGATTAATTGTGTTGTTAAAAGCTCTTACTTTCATCTACGTAAAATAAAAAGACTTTGGCCTTTTTTGATCATCCTACTTTTCTCCTTCTTGTTACTTCGTTAGTCTTATCTAGGATTGATTATTCTCTTCTTGTTCTCGCTTCTTTTTAACTTGTGTTAAACACTCTTTTGCCAAATCTGCTTTTGCTTTTTCTGGCTCTTTTCTCTGAAACTCTCTATTTATCTACTTTTCTGACTACTTCTTCATCATGGTCTATACCTCTGAGCTACCTCGTATTATTAATAACTTTTCTTTCTATAGTCATGTATGCTGATGATTGATTGATTGATTGATTGATTGATTGATTGATTGATTGATTGATTGATTGAAATGTTTGATTTGAAATTGTTAATGATTGATGTCATCAGATGATGGAAATGATTTTATGAATTTGAAGTTGCTGAATTTAAATGAAAATATAACTAAAACATTTGACTAAAACATTACAGTTTGAAATAAAACTGTTTTTGAGTTTTTAGCGTTGTTACTAATAACTTTCTCTATTTCATTCAAGAGTTATTGTGGATCATGTTGGGCTTTCAGCACAGTTAGTTTTCAAAACTTTTACATTATTTCATTTTATTAATTTTTTATTTTATTAACATCTGTCCTACGTTTTCTTGTTTGTTTAACTTCGAAACTTTCTAAATCAGTAAATTTTGTCGATTGATTGATTGATTGATTGATTGATTGATTGATTGATTGATTGATTGATTGATTGATTGATTGATTGATTGATTGATTGATTGATTGATTGATTGATTGATTGATTGATTGATTGATTGATTGATTGATTGATTGATTGATTGATTGATTGATTGATTGATTGATTGATTGATTGATTGATTGATTGATTGATTGATTGATTGATTGATTGATTGATTGATTGATTGATTGATTGATTGATTGATTGATTGATTGATTGATTGATTGATTGATTGATTGATTGATTGATTGATTGATTGATTGATTGATTGATTGATTGATTGATTGA